TGAAACGGTGCGCGACGAAGCGCAGTCGTCAGCCACTCTGAAATCTGACGTTGCTTCTCAAAGCTGAACTCTGGCGTTCTGAAATCTTCTGATATAGGGATCCCAGTCAGATATTCCCTTCCATAGTCGAGCGTGAGTGCTGGGCGTGCACGCAGAATGTTGCGCACTCTCTGGCGTGCATGTGATTCTGGGCCATGAAGAGCGGCAGTGTCCACGAGGTCGCACTGCACCACCACGCATCGAGCAGACCCGTCATCGATCTGGGGATGATATGCTGGGTTGATCTTCATACGCTTGGACGCGCGTAACTTGTCCCAGTATTCTCGGCATTCCACTGGCATCTCCAAAATGAGGGCACGTTGCCCTGCTGAACCCTGAGCAGGTTGCCCCGCGGAGCTCTGAGCAGGTTGCCCCGCGGAACGTTGAGCTGCCACTGGCGCGGCAGGTGCCAGCGCGCTCGCCGCCGATATGGCAACGCCAGCAATTCCCCTGGGCGACCGAGGAGTTCCTGTCGGGGTACTGATGTCGAAGTCCTGACGTGTCTTTTCCTTGATGTTGTAAGACTCGACTGTCTTATCTCCGGGAGCCATTCCTGGCGCCTTCGATGAGGTGGCCACTTGCTTTTCAGTACCACGCCTCGTTGAGGAAGCATCCGTCGTCCGCCATTCCAGCGCGGGCGCCCATCCTGTCCTGCGCACCCGACCTGGTGCGGGGCCGCGACGTGGCACAAGTTCCTTTGGAGCGGGGGCATTGGTGCCCTGAAATGCAGCTGCAGCGGCAGCAACTGCTGGCCCTCTGGATCGGTGTCGGTCAGCAGGTTGCCCCGCAGATCGCGGCTGCTTGCTGTCTCCAGGGTTGGGATCATCTGGGCTCTTCCTCTTCTTTCTTTTCGGTCTGAACTGATCAGGACCAAGCGATGGACCTGATGAATCCAAATATGGAGGAATATCGACGATCGCCTCTGGCTTCGGCATAGGAGTTGCCTTAGCCGTGGCCCCTGCCGGTGCCCCTGGCCCATAACGCATGGGACCTCGGTCAGGGTTCAAATCGCGATCATCTGGTGACCTGAGGGCCATGTTCTTAATAATGCTATGTTGTTTACCTGTGAGAAACGCATGTAGTAGCGCTGCGTCTTTCGACTATGCTTGCCTTTATCCAGCCCGCACCCTGAGCACGGTAAGCAATCCGCTTCTCAGGGGGGAGATCCATCTTCTCAGTGACAACGCACCTGGGGTCGATCGGAGCATTTGTCTGACACGCGGCGTCTGCAATACCCGAATCGCCCGACGCGTGCCCTTCAGGGGCCGCGTCCGTGGGATCGACTTCTTCAGCCATGTCATCATCATCTTCATCAGTTTCTTGTTGATCTGCTTCATCTGATTTGTCATCAGCAGGTTTCCTTGCGTGCCAATCGCGCTTGAATTGCACCAAATAATGAGTAGGTATCAAATTATTCCATATGAGGCTTGTGCGGGCTATGTCATCAGCTGCGGCGCGGTCGTAGTCGCTCTCCGTCAGCTGCTCCTCATATGGCGCTGCATTGGGGTCGGCACAGTGACCCCGACCATCACCATGAGACCAAACCCACGGTGTCCTTTAAAGTTCGGGCTTCTTGAAGGGCGTCTGATGGGGCAGCCCAGCCTGTGGTCAGCATATTCGGGGCATGAGCAACAGACGTTCCTGTAGAGCTTCCGTTCCTCGATCACAGCACTCTCGAGGTTGCGCGTGACCATCTTATCTTGCGGTTTAACAGGTCCTGTCCTTGTCGAGCGCATAGCATTGCCTTTCTCATCTCGTTCGATCTTGCGAAGAGAATACCAGCGCCGGATCCGATGCCCATTCCAACCCTGATCCAGCCAGTATTGCATCTGATCTGGGGGCATGCACTGACGAGCCAATCCAGCTTCCGCGTAGCCTGTAAGGCGCTGTATTCCACCTTCTGGATATCCTTCTTCTCGCGGGTGATCATCTTGAGGCGGGCGCCCCCGCAGGCGCCCCCTCCTTGGGGGGGCGCCCAGTCTATTGGTCTGCCATGGCGGCGCCTTTGGGGACCCCGCATCAGGAGAATAAGGACGCTGGCGACCCCTAGAGCGAGCACCGCTGGAGCGGGCGCGCGCACGATCTGGCGTGCGACTGGAAACCCGACCACGACGTATCATGCGGTCGCTATCTTCCCGTTCTTCGCCATCGTCGTCGTCGCGAATATGCTTTCCCCTCCAGACTGGGCGGCTTGTCAATCGCTCCTGGCGGCTCATGGACCGATCTGAAGCAACAAAAGTGCAATGGAAATCTCCATTACGACCTAGCTCATATTGAATACGCTCAGATAGATCACCAGCGTCTCTCGGGTTCCCCCGCAGAAGATCATCATCGATTAATTCCATGTCTGTCGGATTTCCAGTCACCCGAGGATAGAGCATCGCCTGTATTTCTTCGTCTGGCGCAGGAATGGTAGACTCTGAATCCGCGGGCGCCCCCGCCATGCCAAAATCTCATTCAGCAGACAAGTGGGAGTTCTCGACAAACTCAATATCTGCAGGTTGCCCCGCGATGGATATACCCAGCCATTCTGCCAAATCGATGTCGCTGTGGCCAGTGAACACCTCCTCGAACAGCTCGTCGGCTTAATTCTCGAGGGTCGTACTGGCGCTGAGATATCTGGCAGCCATGAAATTATCTATTGTGGCTGAGCTATCGGCGGGGTCAGCTAAAAGTGGCCCCCAGTCAACATACAGCATGTCGGAGTCTGTTCGAGCCCGATGCATGCATTGACGGACCCCTGCCTCTTCCATCCCCTTGAGGGCATTCGCGTCGGAAATGCTGTGTACTGTGGCATATGTCGCAATCCATAGTTGTACCGTTGGCATCCTTTGGGTTTCCCCGTTGTCCTTTGCCTTTGCCTGAGGTATGCCTGCGGTTTCTGCCAGCACCTATGAACATTTCGTCATACTGAGATCCAGTAAGAGATGCCAAAAATGCTAATGTGCCTCTACCATACAATCGCCGACGCCTACCTTTACCTTTACTTCGACCTTTGCCTTCCCCTTTAAGTGATCGTCGCACGATACGCCTTACCTTTCGGACCGGTTTCTTCATGAATCTCCGCCAGCGACGCTTGTGTTTTTTTGATAGCCAAAGTATAGCCATTGAGCTTGTTGCTCTTCAGTAAGGCATGTAGGCATATCAGAGTAATCAAGGGCGGTAGCTTCGTCATCTGAAGACTCATATGTATCAGCACCGGAGTCGAAGTCGGACTCGGCGGGTTGCCCCGCTGAGCCCATTCGTGTCATGGCTTGCATGGGGGAGACCGCGTCGGGCGGTCTTCGAAGCCTGGCCCAGGAGTCTTGCGACCCCGAGGCCGTTCCACCATTCTGAGCCAACAGTGTAGTGGTCTCAGTTGCTTGTGGATCGTCATTCCGAACGTTTTTGGCAGGCTGCCCTGCGTTAGCCTCCACGTGGAAGGTCTCGGTTCGATGACCGTGACTGAAGATACCACCAATATTGCCGGGGGGTCTCTCAGCAATGTGAGCATATGACCTCATACGTTCAAGTAGAGCGTCAAATTGTTGTTGGTATCTCGGCATATGGTGGTTTAGAGGCTGCAGGATTTGTTGTGCACGCGATGTCCCCACTCCAAAGGCTCTGAATAGAATCACTGCTAGGATTTGGAAGTTGGGGATGCCGAAGCCGGCTGTTTCAGCTTCGTAGCGGGCTATCTCAAACCGTGCTAACGTCTGGTCGATACCTTCGCCCGCATGGACTCGGAAATCAATGAGAGCCGTACCAGAGTTGATTTGGCGTTCCTCTTCTAAGTTCTCGAACTTCGTGCTTAAAGAGGAACATAATGTGGGTAACGCCATCAGTGTGGCGGCCACCTATGTCGACGCCAAAATTAATAACTGCTGGAGGGACTCTCATGGCTATGGTCTGCGCGAGACCTCCCAAACCTCGCTGCAGAGCTGCAGCCTGCTGGGAGGGCGTCATATTGCCTGTGGTCACATTGATCCTGGCATGTACTTCGCGGACGACTTCGCGAAAAGGTACTTGACCGGCTGGGTCCCAATGAGGGCCGGTCGTTCTCGTGTCGTCCCCGCCACGCATATGTCCCACCGCACACCCGATAGCGACCCATGTGAGCCCAAAGATAATAACACCAATCCGATGGCCTCGTAGGTCGTAGTCGGATGTAGTCGGTTGGGACTTCCGTTGAGTAGTCGTAAGTCTGCGTGGTGTCGGAGGCGGCAGTATTTCGTATCACATGTTTCCATGCATTATATATTCGAAGAAACTTCCCATTGGAGTAGGTGGGTGGACTTCAGGTGTGTAGAAGCGCAGGGAGGTAGGATGTAGGTAAAAGACCTCCGCTTGAACAGAGGTATCGCTGTAAGTGTCCTTGCGGTACTGCGTAGCTATGTACATTCCTCCGCGCAAACCCACTGCACCCTTATGTTCCGCCATGTCCGTAGTCCACCAGATAGTGCCATGGATGGTGACGAGTAGAGCAAGAGCTGACCACCATGGGCCAGCTCCGCTACCAAGCTTGAAGGGGGGTGGGAGGCCCAGCCAGCAGCTTCGCCTTATGCGAAGCCAAGCTCCAACTCTGTTGTACCGTAGTAACGATAGTCCCAGTAGGAGAGGATGTGCCATCTTAAGCAATAGGAAGATCCTTTTGGTCTCTATAGCGATTGTGTGCCTCGCAGTGAGGCACACACATATTTGGGCGGCCGGACGCTTGAGCCGACGCGGCCGCGGGCGCACGCTCGCTTCCACTCCTTATGTCCCTCAGCTCGCTTGAGAGTGGAGGAGGAGAAGGGGAGGAGGGCACCGACCCTGGAATCCGAAGCTTGAAACCCTGAACTCCGGAGTTCAGGGTTTCCGACCTCTGGATTCGCGGGTCTACGCTCATCACCCCTCTCCTTTTCCTGCTCCCCCAAAGGAAAGTGGGGTGGGAGAGGTGGGGCAAGACCGCTTTACAACACAGCTTTGATCGTCAACCCGACCTGTGCGGCGCACCGCCAGGTCCAGGTCGCTAAGCGTGAGTTTATCCATGTCCTGGCCGTTGAACTGGTCCACAACCCCAAACCTGGCGTAGTGCGCCACGGCCCTGTCGATCGGCCTCCGGACCATGACAAAGCACAACTTGTCCACGCTATCGGTGGGGTTGAGCCGGGCCAAGGGCAGTGGCGCGTAGTGCCCCAGGTACACCGCTGCGCTCTTGAACTGGTCTGACTCCATGCAGGTGGACGTCTGGGACAGCGGAGTGTTGTACATGATATTGCACTGGCAGCTGGTGGTGCCCACACAAGGTATGGCGGTGGTCAGGCCGTGCGAAGCCGCACCCTCGGCTACAACTCGCCTGATACTAAGACCGCCAGTCTTGACAATATGGTGATATATGAAAGGTCTTTGTGACGTAGGCGTTCCCCCCGTTGGGCATGAACGCGGTACCATGGGCCTCGCCGTCGGCCTCGGTATGTGGTCCCGCAGGAACTCATCCCTATAAGGCTCGGGCGGAGGCAATATGAACCAGGGGTTGTTTCTGCCTGACCAGCAGTCCGCCTCCATGCGACCGGGAAAAAGACCTTTCTTCCCACCAAGATCCTCTGGCAGTGGACACTCCCAAGTCGTCAGCGCCCGAAAGCTGCTGCCAGTGTCGGCGACGCGCGGCACGATGCCGAGCGCGGTGAAGATCTCTGTCAGAGTGTCGCGCGCAGCTCTGCGGCTGAAGCGCTTCTCGATGACTCGCATGCCCTCCCGGCGTAGCTCGTGCCACAGCGTTTTGTTCGAGCTCACCCTCCCAATCATGCTGACGAAGCTGTCCGGAGACGAAGCGGACAGCACATTCAGATCGGGCTGCAGGAACATGCCCTCCGACGCAACCTCGCTGGCAATGATGGGCAAGCCGTAGAGGAGGGCATGGCACAGCTTCCCCTTTACTCCTGCGCCAACGCGAAGAGCCCCCAGGAAGAACTTGGTGCTCATGTGCAGACTGTACAGCTCCTCGTTGGTGACGTCCAGGTGCAGCGTGATCAGCGGGTGTGCTTTAGCCTCCTCGAGCATGTTGCCGAGCAGCGCCCCGCACCTGCTGGTGCCAGACCACACCATGTGCATGAAGCCTCTTGGGAATACCGAGTGATTGCCCAAGATTTCCCGCATGATGAATTTCGATGCGTCGATGTTCGGCGTGTGGCACATGCTGCCTACAAACAGCCCGCCTGTCCTCTCCTCGAAAGGGAGGCCCGTGATACTGGGATCCGGGTCCGGGTATATGTTGGTCAGGAGCCGCACCTTCGACTTGCCGGCCTTATTGGCGGCGACGTCCACCTCCCCGCTGCCGACCACGAGGACGTACTGGGACATCCGCATGAAGCCTACCTCCAGATCCTCGCCAGACTGGAGCAGCTGCTCGACCTTCTCCTTCGACGTCTTGTGCACGTCGACGAACGTATCGCCCAAGAACACCGGGGCCGTGTCCCCAGTCGCCAGCGCCAGCTCCACCGACCGCCGCTCGCGGACAAAGTGCAGGTCCACGGTGTCGTAGATCAGTGGGACCGTGGGGCAGACCCTCCTCTGATGGGCGTGTTTTCCACCATCACCACCACCATAGGTTGGAGGGGGAGAGGGTCCTCCTCCTCCTCCACCTCCTCTTCCTCCTCCTCCTCCGCCTCCTCCTCCTCCTCCTCCTCGTCCTCCTCCTCCTTCCCCACTCCAACTCATGGTGGTGCTGTCATGGTGGTGCTGGAAAACAGGCCCAGCATCCTCAGCGGCTCGATCGCGGCCTTGAAGACCGCCCGGCGGGACAAGATGGCGACCTGCCAGGGGCAGATGGAGAGCTCGTGGCTGGCCCCAGCCCCCTGCCCCGACATCTGGCCCAGCGACCCCGGGGGCAGGACGTGGACCCCCAGGGCCAGGAGCGGCAGCACGTACTTCAGGAAGCTCTGCCCGGACTCCGGCTGCAGCGTCACCCCGTAGCCCGCACGGACCATGATTTCCAGGAGCTCCAGCATCCGAACCGACCCCGAGTCCCGGTCCGCCTCTGGCAGGGTGAAGTCAAGCACGAGCACCTGCGGCCAGGGCAGAAACGCGCCCCCACCCCTTCGCCTCTCCCCAGCCGCCCTCCCGGGGCACCGGCTGCCTGTTCGGCGCATCCTCGTGGCTTCAGCGGGGCGCACGTGTGCAGAAGAAGTTCGCAGCAAGATCTGTGCGAGCCAAGCAGGCCCGGAGAAAACTCCAGGCGCTCGAGTGACACCCACTGGTCGTCAGGTCCGCTGGCGGCACCACCAGCTGATGCAATTTCGAAGACCAGGCCCTGCTGCCAAGCATGGTCCGATCGATTCCCCCACCGCCCCTGGGAAACCCAGGACAGGAGGGCGCCCTTGTGGGAACGTCCCCTCTTGGGGGGGAGTCTGCCCTATAGGCCCGCCTGGGTGCCCTGGCGCCGGATCGTGTTGAAGTACGTGGCCCTCTGCACATCCTTGATCTCCCCGCAGGTCTGGGCCCAGCCCCTCGGAGACGGGCAGTGCAACTCTGTCACGTTCGCGTGCTTGACCTCGAACTTCTCCTGCCGGCGTTGGCCAGGGCTGCCGGAACAGGCAACAGAGACGACTCTGCGAGAACCGCAACTTCGAGGAGCTGGCACCTTCACAGAAACTCTTTTGAAACCGAGCCTGCAATCACAGCACAGCTCGCCGTTTGTGCCCCACCGTCAGCCCAAACGACGAGCACACATCAGGGGTAGCCCTGCAGAAACTGCCAGGTGTGTGTGTGTGTGTGTGCCACCCATGTGACGCGTCATGGGTTGCGCGATCCGTGGGTTGCGCCTACCTTTTATCACCCATGCATTGCGCAATGGATTGCCATCCATGGGTCGCGCCATGAGTTGCGCATGCACCGCCCATAGGTTACGCCACTTGCTGTGCCACCCATGGGTTGCGAGATTGGTTGCGCAATCCACAGGTTGCGACGTGGCGCCATGTGATGCGCCGTGCGCTTTCCGCGGGTCCCGCCATAGGTTGCTCGATCAACGGGTTGCGCATTCCGTGTGTTGCACCATTGGTTCGGCCATAGTTGGTTGCGCCATGGATTGTGCAGTTGCGCAGTGGGTTCAGCTATCAGCGGGTTTCGCTATAGGTTACGCTATAGGTCGTGCGCCCGCCAGAGATAAAGAAAAAACGCATGCGAATGTACCGCCATAGCCCGCGCGCTTGGCCGCATAGAAGAACACGGCACAGTGTGCATCAGACCCTACTGGAACAGTCAAACAAAAAATCGGCTGTTCTCTTCATACAATGCCTGCACATCAATGACTACCTACTACAAGACCACCCTCACCAAACCCGATGACCAAAATGTCGGGTTGGAGGAACACGGGTTCCACACATGCGTTTCCCAACCAACCCGTTGTTGTGTCCTCGTTTTGAAGAGACAGTCCCGCGTTCCTCCCCTCCTCCTCCTCCTCCCCCCCCTCCCTCCTCCCATCCCTGCCTCTGCCCTCCGCATGTCTTCATCGTCGTCTTCAACATCCAGCACAGCGCTTCGTGGCCCCATGGGGAGCTCCACCTACGGCCCCAGTGGCGGTGTCCACATGCGTCTCCCCCACCGAGCACGGCGTTTCGTGGCCCATAAGGAGCTCCACCTAAGGCCCCAGTGGCGGTGTCCACATGCGTCTCCCCAACCCAACACATTGTTTCGTGGCCCCATGGGGATCTCCACCGAAAGCCACAGTGGCGGTGTCCACATGCGTCTCCCCGACCCAGTACGGCGCTACGTGGCCCCATGGGGAGCTCCACCTAAAGCACAAGTGGAAGTATCCACACGCGTCTCCCCCACCCAGCACGGCACTGCGTGGCCCCATACGGAGCTCCATCTAAGGCCCCAGTGGCGGTTTCAACATGCGCCTCCCCAACCCCACAGAGCGCTTCGTGGTCCCACAGGGAGCTCCACCTAAGGCCCCAACGGCGGTGTCCACATGTGTCTCCCCCACCCAGTACAACGCTTCGTGGCTCCATGGGGAGCTCCACCGAAGGCCCCAGTGGCAAGTTCCACATGCCTTCCCCCCACCCAATACAGCGTTTCGTGGTCCATATGTGACTCCGCCGAAGGCCCCAGTGGCAAAGTTCTCATGCGTCTCCCCCACCCCGTACAACGCTTCATGGCCCATAGGGAGTTCCACCGAGGGCGTCAATGGTAAAATCCACATGCGTCCCCCCACCCAACACAGCGTTTCGGGGCCAACAGTGAGCTCCAACGAAGACGATACCCACACATGCGCTACTCAGAACTGCATGTGGTTGGCTCCTTCGCCAGATGGATTGCCCAACCGTCCTGCGGTGTTGGGTCCTCGTTTTGAAGAGACAGCGCCCCGCGTTCCTCGCCTCTCCTCCTCCTCTCCGTTCCTCCTCCCGTCACCCCTCTCACTTTGGCACACCCCTTACACTGTTCGTGGCCCCATGTGGAGCTCCACCTAAGCGCCCAGTGGCGGTGTCCACATGCGTCTCCCCCACCCAGCACGACGTTTCGTAGCTCCATTGGGAGCTCCACCTAAGGCCCCAGTGGCGGTGTTCACATGCGTCTCCCCAACCCAACACATTGTTTCGTGGCCCCATGGGGAGCTCCACCGAAGGCCCCAGTGGCGGAGTCCACATGCGTCTCCCCCACCCAGCACAACGCCACATGGCCCCATGGGAAGCTCCGCCTAAGGCCCCAGGGGCGGTGTCCACATGCGTCTCCCCCATCCCACACAGCGCTTCGTGGCCCCATGGGGAGTTCCACCAAAAGTCCCAGTGGCGGTGTCCACATGCGTCCGCCCCACCCAGCACGGCGCTTCGCGGCCCCACAGGGAGCTCCACCAAAGGCCCCAATGGCGCTGTCCACATGCGTCTCCCCCACCCAGCACAGCGCTTCGTGGCCCCGTAGGGAGCTCCACCGAAGGCCCCAGTGGCGGTGTCCACATGCGTCCCCCCCCCCCCCCAAAAAAAAACAAAAAAAAATCCAAGTGCGACCCTACCTATGAGATGGAGCATTTGGGAAAGCAACATCTACATCTACACCGACAGCTACCTTTACGTCTACACATGCATCTATATCTACATATAAATCTACATCAACAGCGAGGCCTCACATATACATCTACATATACACCTACATCTACACCTGCATCTACATCTACATATACATCTGCATCTACACATACATCCACATCTACATATACACCTACATCTACATCTACATTTACACTGTCGCAGTGGTTGTGTTGTTGCGTTGCATTGCCTGTGCTGTTGTTATTGCCGTTGCGTGTGTATGTGCCTTTGCTGTTGCTGTTGCGCTTGCTGCTGCGTTTGCTTTGTGTTTGTGGTGTTATGTTATGCTGCGCTATGCTATGCTATGCTATGCTAGACTATGCTATGATATGCTATGCTGCGCTATGCTATGCTATGATATGATGTGATATGCTATGTTATGCTATGCTAAGCTATGCTATGCTATGCTATGATGTGATGTGCTGCGCTATGCTATGATATGCTGCGCTGTGCTAGGCTAAACAATGCTATGCTATGCTATGCGATGCTGCGTTATGTAATGCTATGTTATGCTATGATGTGTTGTGATATGATATGCTATGATATGCTAAACTATGATGAGCTATGCTATGCTATGCTACACTAGGCTTGGCTATGCTATGCTGTGCTATGCTGTGTTAATGCTGCGCTGCGCTATGCTGCGCTGCACTAAGCTAAGCTACGGTAAGCTAAGCTATGCTAAGCTAAGCTAAGCTAAGCTAGGCTAGGCTAAGCTAAGCTAAGCCAAGCCAAGCTAAGCTAAGCCAAGCTAAGCTGAGCTAAGCTAAGCTAAGATGAGATACGCTAAGCTAAGCTAGGCTAAACTAAGCTAAGCTAAGTTAAGTTAAGCTAAGCCAGGCTGAGCTAAGCTAAGCTAATCTTAGCTTCGTTAAGCTAAGCTGGGTGAACCCAGGGGGCGCAACTGGGGGAACCGCGGGGCGGATACTGGGGGAACCGCCCGGGGCGGGCCCCACTGCCCGGCCCCTTTAAGATAGAGGATAAGAACCCTTCTAGGCAGAGCCTAGGTAGGGAAAAAAGCTTCGTCGCCCCATCGGGGGCTCCACCGATGGTCCCAGTGTTGGTCCACATGCGTCTCCCCCACCCAGCACAGCGTTTCGTGGCCCCACAGGGAGCTCCACCGCAGGCTCCAGCGGCGGTGTCCACATGCGTCTCCCCCACCCAGCACGGCGCTTCGTGGCCCCATGCGGAGCTCCACCGAAGTGGCGGTGTCCACATGCGCCCCCCCAACCTAGCACAGCGTTTCGTGGCCCCACAGGGAGCTCCACCTAAGGCCCCAGTGGCGGTGTCCGCATTCGCTTCCCCCGCCAAGTACGGCGCTTCGTGGCCCCATAGGAAGCTCCACCCAAGGCCTCAGTGGCGGCCTCGCCCCATTCCAGTGCGCCCTCACACGATTCGCGGCCCCATGGCGGCCCCGCCACATTTCGGCAAACCGCTCGCACGCTCTATGGTCCCATGAGGAGATCCTCCGAAGGCGATACCCGCAACGACGGCACTCACAACTGCAAATGGTCGGGTCCTTCCCTAGGATAATTCAATGTTCCCCGACGCCCCCCCGCTGGGAATGGAGGGCAAATTGAAGCCTTCGGGTTGGGTCTGGGTGGTTTGGTGGGTGATGAAGCAATGAGAAGTGGGCAGCCGGTCCACAAGGGTCTTCTGTGCGCAGCTGCAGAGTCAAAGGGGGCACCCGCGGCAAAGACCCTGGCGCTGGCTTCGCCCGCTTGCGCAGGAGCGCAGCTCGCGCGGCCCTCGCCCCTCTCACGCGACCTGCCCTGCGAGCCCACCGCGGCCCGCGGCTTCCGCGACACGCGCCCTCTGCGACCTGCACCCCCCCGGCGAGGCCGCTGCGGCGCGGCAGCCCGCCGAATATATGATGGTTCCAGCGGCGACGAGCGGCCCGCTTGGGGGGGGTCGCTGCCTCCTCGGGCCGGTCCTCGCGACCGTCTGGGAGCCATCTGCGGCCCTCCTGGAGCGGCCTGGAGGCCGAAAGGGCGCCCGCGGGCAAGGTCGGGGGTGCTATATCGACAGTCTGGGGACAGGGGTCGACGCAAACGGGGTCGGCAAGAACGCTGGATCTTGCAGGCGAGCCGGTCAATGCAAACGCCCCACGACCGCTCCCGCGACGCGCCCCCGCCCCATCCGATCCGCAGAAAAAATACATCGGCAAAGAACCCAACCATGCGCAGGTGAGAATGCAGCAAGGCAAATGAGATGAAGAAAAAGGAGCCCGCTACGGCGCCACGAACCGTGTGAGGGGCATGCCGAAATCAACATGCGGCGGGCTGGAGAGCACGCTCAAACCCTGCCACTGGGGCCTTCGGTGGAGTTCCCTGTGGGAGCACGCATCGTGTGAAGGGTGTGCCTGGATGGACGTGCGGTGAATGGGGCCGCATATGAACCCTGCCACAGGGGATTTCGGTGGAGTTCCCAACGGGGCCACGAAACGTGCGAGAGGCGTGCCGACATGGGCATGCGGTGGGCGGGA